CTGGGCACTTTAGCAAAGATGGAGCAATCAAGTACAATCAAAAGTCAGAAAAGACTCATGCAGAGACAAATAGAGCAGATATGCAGAAACACGCAGCACTGAGAGACCAGGAACCCCAGAGAAAAGTGGGTACGGGATCAGTTCTTTTTTTTTTAGAGAGTGAGCGAGAGGGAAACAGCATGAGAGGGGAGAGGGTCAGAGGGAGAAGCAGGCTCCCCGCTGAGCCGGGAGCCCGATGTGGCTCTCGATCCCAGGACCCCGGGACCATGACCCGAGCCGAAGGCAGACGCCCAACCATCTGAGCCACCCAGGCACCCCGGGATCAGTTCTTGATGCAAACTGAAGTTCCTGGTTCCAGTCCCTCAGGAGAGACAACTGCATTTCATTCATTCATTTATTCACCAAGTCTTCGCTGAGAGTCTCCTGCATTCCAAGTGCTCTTCTGGGTGCTGGGATACATTCATGAACAAAAGGCACAAAGTCTCTGACAACATAGATTTTTCCACAAGAAAATTGTGGAGAAAACAAGACAATAAATAAATCCACAACATAACATCGGAGCTGAGAAAGACTAAGAACCATATATCTGTGCAAGGGGACAGAGTGATAGATGGTGAGGGAATGATTCTCTGAACAAGTGATATTTGAGCAAAGACCTGAATGAAGTGAGCAGACCACCTGAACATGGTAGGGAAGACTACCCAGGCGGGGGAAAGTGTGGCAATCCTTTGACAGGATTGCGTTTGGCGTGTCAAGAGCAGCAAGTTCATACTCCCTTCCTCATTCCAAGTCCTGCCCTCCTGAGAGAGTCCACTGTGTGCAAGGTCTTTCCATCATGCTGCGTTTACAATTCCCAGACCTCTGGTTGAATAATATTCACCTCCACTCTATATCACTTCAGCAGCTCACTACCTGAGCCTTACTTGACCTCTGAAATGCTAAGCTCTAATATGCCACTTTGACCTCAATCTCCTGCCATTGGCTCCCTCCTCAACTTTCTCTTGCTATACCCATTTCTCTTTCCAGATACTCCTAGGTCCGTCAGTCTTCTCTTTCTTCTCAGTCTATCAAGTGGATCCATTATTGACCTCCCCCTCTGCAACCTGGATTCCTTCAAGGCAGTATGTCTAGTGGTTAGAGTGTGGCCTTTGGAGCCAGACTGCTGGGTGAAAATCCCAGCCCTACCATTAGCTACGAATCTGGTAGAAGGCCCAGTTTTCTGGGGATGTAAATCAGAGTAACCTCCATTGCTGTTATATGTGAGCGAATACACACATAGTGCTTAGAAGAGTGACATGCCATAGAGCAAGCATTTGATAAATATTATTGTGATTATCACCATATTTATTCCTTTGCTCTTCCTGCAACAATTTGAACTGCTGTGACTTTAGTTTTCCTCCTGTTGAACCTTCTCCAGAAATCTCCATTTCTGGCTCAGTCTAATCACCTACCACCTCTGCTGTTACTCCTCAGTAGCCGAGGTCATCTGACAAAAAAACTACTTGACCAATGCAGGTTGACAGGGCTATCCACTTAGAGCTTCTGGACTCTGCCTGGTCCACTGCCCAGCTTGAAAATCCCTTTATAGGAGTCTGGTTAGCTTTCTCACTCATTTCCCCATTAGCTATTCTAAACCATCATTCTTTTCAACTCCCCAAGATGCTGATCCTTTTACCTTCGCTTGACAGTTCTTACATGAAACCCTAAACACAGATAAAAACGTATTTATATTCTCACATCCTTCTCTTTAAACTCACAAGAGGCAGTGGCCAACCTTCTGTCTTAGACCTACCTATGTTCTAGATAACTTTCCCTCTCATCCTTTTTGGGACCCATACCCATCAATTATCTTTTTTCTCCCTCATTCACTTCAGGCCACAAACATGCTCAGATCTCTCCAATATCAACAAAACAAAATAACTCCCCTCTGGAATCTGAAGCCCTTTCTACCGTTTATCCCATCCTTTTTCATCCACAGCAACACTTCCTAACATTGCCACATGTTCCCCAGGGCAAAACTGATTTTGATTGAGAACCACTGGTTAGAGGATAAAGCAATATAAAAGAGTGCCCAGTATGTAATAATGCTGGAGCAGTTCTAAAAAGAGAAGTCCACAGTGGCCTCCGTCTTTTTTATCCATTCACTGCATTTGTCTAGCCATACCCTGTTCTAAAACCCAGTTCCTTGGCAGAAAGCAAGCATAGCTTGTCTGAAGCTCTCTACCCTTTCCTCGCCCCTCAGCTTACTACAGTCTGACTTCTGCCCCCCAAATTCCCTGAAACTACTCTGCAATGAGTTTTTTCCTAATTGCCAAATGCAGTGGACCTTTCCTGACTTATATTACTTGAATTCTCTCAAGCACCTTTACACTATTGACCATGACCTTGAAATTCTTGCTTTGGCTTCCAAAATGCCACCTTTTTTGGTTCTCCTTCCACTTCTGACTGCATCTTTATTATCTTCTTTGCTAGCATCCTTCCCCTTTCAATTTTAGTTTAGTCTCTCCTCAGGCAGAGTCCCCTCCTTCCTGCCACTCGTTCCTCAGTGCTCGCTTGTATTCCAATGACTTTACCAATCACTGACATGGCGGTCCCTTCTCAGGGCTGCTCTCTGGCCCAGACCCCCCTGTCCTAGGCTCCAGGAGGTATTGCTGGCAATCCCCTGGGCACTTCCTTTTACATTCCAGTGGCAACACACATTCAGTAAGTCTGTTCTTATCTTCCAACAGGTTCTTGTTCTTGTCTAATTGGTTCTGAGATTTTGAGGATATTAATCCTTTCTATTTTCCCTTTAAAGGTAGATCTGAAGGTAGCACAGTGCCTAGCATTTAGTGACTGGTGCTCGATAATTGTCTTTTGAATTCAGGAATTGAACTGCTTGTCCTTTCCCCCCTAGAATTGGCAGTAGATTTGCCAATTCAGGTCTAAAATAGAATTTGTTGTTATCCTCAGATTTCCATTCTTCACGTCTTCCTCTCCTTAAAGTCATCTCTATTTACTCAATTACTGACCCTTCCACCTCAGGAGTCGTCCATGATCTTCCCTTTCTCTCATCTTCCATATTCATTCCATAAGCAACGTCTGTTAGCCCTGCTTCAAGCCATGTCCTAAATTTCACTCTTTGTCACTATCTCTAGCTCTACCACCTTGCTCAAGCTGCCATCATTTTTTACCTCCAACCACTGCAACTTCCTAACTAGGTTTTCTGCTTCTGCTATCCTTTCAGAAGGATCTCTAACACATCCATCAGGATAGCTCACTACCATCCATAAAATGCTCGATGACGTCATTACACTTGGAAGGTAAATTCTTTATATCAAGGCACTGCAGTAATTGGCCTCTTCCAATTTCTCTCACCCCATCTCCAATTCCAAATCTAATCCTCATCCCCAACTTCCTTATGCTACATAAAGAGTGCCCCCCCTTTTAAAGATTTATTTATTTATTTGAGAGAGAGAGAGAGTGAGTGTGCCTGTGTGAGTGGGGGGAAGGGCAAAGGGAGAGGGAGAGAGAATCTGAAGCAGACTCCACACTGAGTGTGGAGCCTGATGTGGGGCTTGATCCCATGACTATGAGATCATGACCTGAGCGGAAATCTGGAGTTGGACGCTTAACCGGCTGAGCTACCCAGGTGCCCTGGTAAGAGCCTTTCTGCTATTTCTCAAACCCACCCAGCTTATTATTCTGGCTTATTTCTTTTATACTGGCTGCTCCTTCTACCTGGAATACTCTGCTCCCAGATTCCCACAGAGCTGGCTCCTTTCCAACCTTCAAATCTCTGCTCAAATGTCACTTCTTCCAAGACTCATCCCATGAAAATAGCTCCCTATAGCCATCCTCTAATTCCCCATCCTGCTTTATTTTCCTCAGAGCACTTATTACTGTCTACATTTATATTTAACTTAAAAATCAACTTTCTGTAATATCACAAGCTTCATGAAGAAAGGAATTTTTTTTCCCTTCCATGTCTACTGTTGCATCTCCAATGGACCCATAGTAAACACTCAGCAAGTATTTGTTGGGATAATGCAATCTCTATGTCCAAAGGCACATCTTTAATGATTGGTAAAGATTATTGGCTCTGTGAGGTAGTATTTCACTATGTGAAGACAATTTTATTAAATGGAAGTTAGCACCAACCTCTATAACCCACACACCTGTTAGCTACTGACGAGGATTCCCTTCCTGACCAAACCTAAGTCAGGCTCCTCTTCTCAACTAGGCCTTGTCTTTGGCCTACTCCTTGGCCTACTGAGCCCAGTTTAAGTGGAAATCCTGCTCAATCAGTTTATTGAGAATCCCTCCACCCTTGAATAGACAATCAAATTCCTCATCCCCACACCCTTGATATCGAATCAAGTTCCTGTTAGTCAGTTCCATTCCATGATTCCTTCACCCTTACCTTGCTTGGTGGCCATAAATTCCCGGCTGCCCTTACTGTTTTGGGACTTGAGTTCAATCTCTCTTCCCTGTTCCAAGACTTGATCTCTCTTTAAATAGTCTTGAAAAAAGTCTTCCTTGTTTTTAACAAGTGTCTGGTGCAATTTCTTTTTAACACTAGAGACCAAATATTTACCGGCTGGGTTTGTATAAATCCACCTAATGAATTTTCTTTGTTCCCTGCCAAATTTTCATATGTTCTTTGCAGTGGGAAGGGTCAAATAGAGGCTTTTCTTGTCTGTGTGACAGAAGAATATGGTTTCTCTAGCATATAGGGGCAAATCAGGAAGAATAAAGGCTACATGATTTTTTTTTTAATCACCTTTATAGTAGCTATTACTTATTCATTTTGTCACATTTATTTTCAACTGTTCTTAATGGTGACATTTTAATGAATAGTTCAAAAACAATGGCTCAATACAAAATGACATCCCAAATCTCCTAAACAAAAATGTGTTCAGTATGTAAAAAAAATAGTTCCACTTCTGCCACATAATCCGTATCATTCACAAGCACTCCACTACCGTCTCTGCAGCTGAATTGCGATTATATGATCATACCTGCAACATCAAACTCAATTTCCAGTGTGACCTTGCTTGTGATTGAAGAGTCTCGGAGGAGCTGGTTGGCTTCCTCAAAGGTGCTGTCTTCAGTTGGAATCCCATTAATGGCCATCACTCTGTCTCCGATCTGTAGCACCCCACATCTATATTTAGAACCACATATTAGAGGTTGTAGACAGAGCAAATAATTATCAAGTTGATGTTGCCAAATCTATTTTGTTTGATCCTTGTGAAATAGCATACCCATTTGGTCTTGTTTGTTCAAGGATGTGGGCATCATATTAGGTCAACTGCAAGGTCTTGCACTCTTGCATTTGATGGCTACAGATGTGAGCAAGGGAATCTTGAGATATCCCAGAGAAGTGATTAATAATTTAGCACTGTGGTATTCTTATAATCTGATCTGGACCAATATATAGTAATGGTGAATGTACAGTCCCCCCACAGCAGAGAAATTATTATAATAAGGTTTGAACTTCAGAGATATTTTCCCTTTTAATTAACATGGCCACCAGTCCCTGATGGACAAAAATCTGCTAGATAAAGGCATCTGTGCTCGTTATTCTTCTCAAAACGTATCAAGAACATAACATTTTATTGTTAGAACAGAGAGTTCATTACATCCTGCATTTCCTGCATTGAGCACTGTTCCATAATTTATTAGCTATTCAAAGATAGTCAGCACAAGAAATGCACAGAAACAGGCGCTATGAAAGAGTGTCTTACCTCTCTGCTGGGCTGTCAGCTTCAATATAGGAAATCAGAGGTGGAGAAGAGAGCGTCTCCGTGGCAAACACACTGCCCTGCAGTTGGATCCCAAATCCTGTGACAGGATCTGCTGTCAGCACAACTTCTGTGGTTTCTGTGTGAACGACCTGCCCAGCCAAGCCCACTGTGCTTGAGGCTAAAGACACTAGAGGAACAAACACACAAAAAAATGACTTTAGGTTGAAGCAAGCACCAGGAATACCAGCATTTCTTTCTTTTTATTATTAGAGAGACAGAGAGAAAGAGAAAGGGGGAGGGGACAGAGAGAATCTCAAGCAGGCTCCATGCACAGCACAGAGCCCGATGCAGGGCTAGATCTCATAACCCTGAGATTATGGCCTGAGCTGAAATCAAGAGTTGGACGCTTAACCAACTGAGTCACCCAGGCACCCTGGAATACCAGCATTTCTGACACAGATCATGTCTCTGGAAAAAAAAAAAAAAAACGCTCATTGGCAATGGTGGAAGTGATACTTTGGTCTTCTAGACAAAAATTTAGTCAGAGCTGAACTAGATAAAGGAATCTCCCAATATCTGTCACGTTTTAGTCACAATGCCAGTGTGACCTCCTCCCCATACTCAGTCCTGGTACCAGGGACAATTGTGGGAGCTGTAGGAAGACGACAGCCTTGGGACTGGGTACCTGGGTTTTGGTCCTGGTTCCACCAGTAGGCAACCAGCTGTGTGACCTTGGGGGAAGGCATTAATTTCTTTCCTATGAAAAAAGGGTTAGGCTAACTGGTCTAATATGTTTTCCCCTCTATCCATTTGTGCCTAAGCTTTAAGGTTTTTATAAACAATCTGACCTTCAGCTTTGAAGAAAAAGTCTGGCTCCTGGAGTGGTGAGGACGTGTTCATCAACATTATTCTAGCATTGGATTGGCATGATGGAATTGTTGAAACTTTATATTTTTCCTTTCCCCAAATTTGGGCTCTTCAGCCTTCGTTCTTTCTCACTGGATCTCCAGCCTACTTTGTCATCTCTTATTTCATTCATTCTTCTGATACTCATCTAAGCCTCCAGGTACCCATCTCTGTCTTGTTTCTATTGCCAACCTGGGTCATGGAAAGGCCACTCCACTCGTTTCTCTCAGCATTGCCCACTGGGACCCCTGCCTCCTTTACTCCCTGTGAGCAAGCTCTCTGCACGGTCCAATGCTGGACCGTCACTTCCTCCAAAAGGGGTCTTTTGGCCTCTTTACTGTAATTGAAACTTGCTGACACCATATACCTCAAAACCCGCTGCAACCAGAAGCCATTTTCTTTTCACTTTCCCTGCATGGAGCAAGGAGAGAGAAGAGTTTATAACCCTCCTTGCTCCACACATCCAGTGTTTTTTTGTTGTTGTTGTTGTTTTTTTTTTTTTTTACCATAAACCACTTCTATTTTAAAGTTCTATATTATGTACTTATTTCTGTCTTGTCTCATCTTCAAACCCATACTTTTCTACTTTTCCTGTTTCCCCCCACTTCCTCACTGACATCAGGGCTTGACTCTTAATTTGCCTCTTCTAATCTGTAGCTTTTCCATGTCCTCAGTATCTTTGACATAATGACAATAAACAATGCACTGGGTTTATGGTTCTTTAGCTCTCTCAGTGCTGATTATTGGCAATCCCACCCAACTTCAGCTCTCTATCAGCAGAGCCCTGTGCTGGACCCCAGCATCCTTCAATCTGGAAAGAGCTCCAGGATCTTCATATCTGAACTCTCCTTGTTGATCACAGAACCTATTAGCCATCTTTCCCAGTCCTTAGGCCCTAACTTTCCCTTCTTGATGACTTCTAGCCCCACTCCCTTTCACTTGTCTTCCAATCTAGTGGTTTTCAAATGGTTTTGTTAGCAATAGATTCCACCCCCCAACCCCCCACTTCACATGAAAGTGTGTAAGGGATGCTTTTGTATTCCAGATAAAAACAGAGCTACTGAAGGTACTGAGGTAGGAACAGGAGACCCTAGAGGAGGCTTCCCCATCCCTCATGTGTGAATCTGGGGAACCCAATTTGAAAGCTATCATCTTTACCCATTGCCTTTTACTAGCATCATTCCCCTCCACACTCCGCTTGGACCCCAGGTGACCATTTCAATGAGGCATCTGCTGGTGTCAGACAGGCTTAAACCTCATGACATTTTCTATAGTCTAATACGCTATACTCTTTGATAATGCCTGCTTGCCTCCACTACTCTTACTAGTTTGCTGAAGGGTGCTAGAGAAAGTCACTACAAATTCACACAATTCTCTATGGGGCCCTGGAATCTTCTGTTATGTAATATTTGATTTCTCCATAGGATCAGTCTCAAACATTTCTACCATTATAAGGATCAAACTTTACTCCTTACTTCATTTCCTTCATTGACAAGAGTTCCTTAAAAACATTCTTTTCAACCTTGATTTCTCTATATCATTATCTGCTCTCACTTTCTTTTCCTTCCTGCTTCAGGAGGATGTATCCTTCCTTCCCTTTCAGGCCAGCTCCTCCTTTCTGATATGATCTGTTTCCACGCCCTGTGAGTTTATGCCATAAACACTTTTCTCTTGTTTTTTTCCGACTTTCCTGCTCACTGTCCTAGCTTTCTGACCTCTCCCTATAGGTTTGTACTGATTCCAAAACTGCTTAAAACTTGGCCTCTCCCTTCACCCTTTAATGAATCTTCTCTCACTGATGACTTCCTGATTGCCAAAATCAGTGGCCTCATCCACTCTAACTACCCTGCAGCAACTGGCTTTGGGAACCATCCTTTTCTTTCTGTTATTACTCTCTTCGTTTCAATGAAGGTTTGTTCTTAGTTTCTGACTTTTGTCAGCCCCTTCCAGTTCCTTTGCCTCCTCTGCACTGCAAACATAGAGTTGCCCCTGGTTCTCTTCTTAGCCTTCTCTCCTCTCCTTTCCCTCTTTCACTTCTCATACTTCTGTAACAGGACCTCTGTGTGTATCTTCTCAAATCTAACTCTCCAATTTCTCTCAAGCTCCAGTGATGAATTTCCTGACTTGGATATCCCATCCCCAAGAATGTCCCATTGACTCCTCAAACTCAACATTTTAAAAATTGAGTTAATCATCTTCTCTTTCTCATTCCCACTACTGTTTCTATGAATAGGACCATCATGCTTCTAGTCCACCAGGCTTGAAATCTCAAAGTAGCCTTTGACTTCCAACATCCCCGTTGTCTCAAATTCAATCAATTGCTAAGTCCTTTCAAGATGACCACTGAAATATAACTAACTTCTACAAATCCTCTTTTCCCTTCTTACCATTAATGTTTCAATTCAGGCTTTTATTATTTTTATTTTAAATATTTGAACATGCATGTTTCTGGTCCTTCTGTGCCCAACACTTTCTGCATATTATTGCCAGATTAACTTTCTCTTCATGAGGAGGCCCCCAATTTATCTACTCTCTAGAGTAGGGCCTCATGATTGCTAATGCAGATCACTATATAGACTTAGACTCTGTGTCCTTGCCTCTTGTGTTATGCTAACACCCTCCAAATTGATGTCAAAGTGGCTTTTTCTCATATGCGAAGGTCATCCCCCAATTTAGAATCTTTCAATGCCTCCCTGTTTCCTGTAGAACAACATGTTCAATGCTGGCAGAGCTCACAGGACCCTTCCTAAGTTCATGTTCTTCTGCCTATCCAGTCTCGTGCTCCTTGATGCTCCCTCCACGTGCCATGTGCTGCAGCCCTGCTTTCATCCCTCTGTCCCTTTAGCCCTTCCCCTGGGTTTTCAATGTCCCTTTCCCTGCCTTATCCAGGCAGAGTGAGGTACTCACTTTTTTACATTTCCACATATTATAACCCTGTAGTTTAAACAATTGTATGATGGATTCTCTCTCCAGTAGCAGATACTCCATTCTGCATGGTCCTATTTCAGCATTTATCAGGTTTTTATTTGCTGCCTTTCTCTCCACTTGACCCTGAGTTGTCTAAAAATTGGGATCCAGATCTTTTCCTCTTTGAAATCCCAATGTCTGGAACATTCAAAGAACACTAAATAAACGAAGAACAAATTGGGTCTTGTGATGTTATCCACATTTTCCTTTTTTGGAATCAACATTTCATGTAGGTTCTACTGACTTAAGGAACTAGAAGTTGTTCCTCGGACCCCAGTATCTCTACTATGTGGTTCATTCCAACATTGTAGCTGACATGGCAGAGGATGCTGAGGTGGACAAATGTCTAGGAGGAGGAAGGAAAATCACCTTCTTCATAAGAAGCACTGTCATTGTTCTCACAACAGAATTCATATCGATGAGATTAAAGTAGCCTGCTGTAGGGGGTAAAGTCAGCTTCCAACCCTGAGCTTTCTACAGGTGGTGGCCTATAAGTCCAAGATCTGACACAGGGACTATCCCATATTAATTCATACTTGATCTTAGCCAAAAGGCCAAGAAGCGATATTCCATATTAATTCAGATCACACTTTCTAGTGTCTTTGTTGATATCAACTCTACTTTGATTGTTCTTCAGATCATACATTTTCTTACTGGTGGCACACAACCACTAGAGGTAGTTAGTAACGATCTGGAGAGTTGTGTTTCTTTCCAGTCTGTTCTCATTGCAGGCAGGAACATAATAGTAGGACGTCATCTATTGGCAGATTACTTTCAGTCTATCTTCTAGGTGATGATTTTTGGACTTCAGTAGGAATACTTTATTTTCTGTGAATTTTTCTATCGGTTCACATTAATATGTATTTTTTTCCATTTGAGATCTCAGTTTGGTATAGATTTTTGGATTACTTAATTGGAGTTAAAAGCCTTGAACCTTTAAGTCAGCTGGTTGGCATTTCCACTAAGAGTGAATTAGGAAGAAATGGGTCAATCATAATAGGAAGGATTAGGCTGGATATAGTAAAGACCTTCTCAAAGGAGAGACTTGCTACATTTTCAGAACAGTTGGAGAAGATGGTTGAGAAACTGAAATCTCTGGAAGGTTTTTTTAAAATTTATTTTTTATTTTTATTATTTTTTTTTAAAAGATTTTATTTATTTATTTGACAGAGACAGACACAGCAAGAGAGGGAACACAAGCAGGGGGAGTGGGACAGGGAGAAGCAGGCTTCCCACCGAGCAGGGAGCCCGATGCGGGGCTTGATCCCAGGACCCTGGGACCATGACTTGAGCCGAAGGCAGGCGCTTAACGACTGAGCCACCCAGGCGCCCCTGGAAAGTTTTGGAAATAGAAATAAGTGCTCACTGTGGGCATCATTAAATTTGTAAGCTTTATTCAGAGGAAAGTCGAGGCAATAGAAATTATTAGGACATTTAATTTAGGATTAAAAATATGTTAAATGTTGGTTCTATAATTATATAAATTTATAATTTACCTAATAAATATAGGATTATAATAAATAATCTAAGTTTTTATAATTAACTCTGAAAGTCCTTTGATATAATGAAATCTGTTCTTTGAAACAGTAAAATCTCATTTGAAATTGTATGTACTGATTACTCACACATATTAAAGTCTTGCAAATTATTACCAGATTTGAAAAAGATAAATTGTAGATTTAAAGATGATGAGCCAGGAGAAAAAACAACCAATATTACTTGGAGGAAAAAAAAGATGAGTTTGATTATCCTTCTTCATTAAGGTGGCCAACCAGCAAAAGAAAATAAAGGTGATTTATTATGAATTATAACCCTGTAGTTTAAACAATTGTATGATGGATTCTCTCTCCAGTAGCAGATACTCCTGCAAGGTACCAGCTCTGGCCTGAAGCATGCCCATTTCTACTCAGGTGAAGAAGGGAATGGCTAAGCAGCTGACATACTGCGTGTGAATATTGCTAACTGGTGTGTGCCAGGTTGTGTTCAGGCTTCGCATCTGCTCTGTCCTGTTCCTGTTCACACTTGGAGGGTTCTGTTCACACCCCTTCGGGTATGCAGGAAATGACCCTGTGCGTTTGTCAATTCTTGTCTTTCCTAGCGTAAGTAAGGGAGGAAAACCGACGATAACTTGTTAGCTTCTGAAGTTTAAAAATCTGCCAAATGTTTTCTTCGCTTAGAAGTCTGTGAGGTTTACTGTCAGATAGGAAAAGCATTTAAAAAGTATCCAGAGCAATGGACCGCAAAGATTTATTAGTATACTGTGTTTATCACTATTTGATTCCATACCTCAGACCTCTAGCTCACTAAAGTGTTCCCCATCGGAGTCAGCCTGCTGTGGATCCAGCACACTGTGTGTCACGTGATCCAGTTCAGGCGTCCAGCAGCTCCCTTCTCCAAATGAGGGTAGGCTTGGGTGGGGGTGGGGGGCAGCTCATAAGCCACCTCCCGGAGGGCTCCCTGCATGCTCACTTCTAAACGCTTACCATTAGCTGCCTTTGCCTTCCGTCCTTTTCTCAGGGGTCTGTGGCAGGGACAGAAGTTGTTCGGCTTCTTCATTCTCTTCCTTTCAGCTCTTTTCAGTGTTAGCCACCCTGCTAGTAAGTGGTGATGGCACAGGAGGCAAAGACTATTCTGGGAATGTGATCTAGCTTCCACACTTGGCTGCAGGTCAGGCGGACTGCAAACAGACAGAGTCTACACTGGCTCTGTGTGCAGAAGCGGGACTCAGGGGGAACGAGCCAGGTCCACCGCTCAGTCATGCTGCCATCACGGGGGGGATGCTAGGTTTCTGGAAAAAGCCTTGACCTCCGAGGCAGAAACAGGGACAGCCCAGGCTGTGGGGCAAAGGTCAGTAAGATTCCAAAAGAGGTGACCAGAGGGTTCCCTCTGTGACATGGCCCTGCAGCCCTCCCAGGGCTTTGTGACACTCCTCCCGGCCCAATGCTGGGGATACTCAACATTCTTCCTGTGAAGCAAACATGGCGCTTTCCTAGTTTAATTCTTGTCCCGTGTTGCTGCAGACTGCCTTTATTTTCCCCTTTGGTCAATGATACAGAATGGTTTAATATTTATGGGAGAAGATTTAATTCTTTCCTGGCATGTCCTTCTCCACTAGAAACATATGTGGGAATTTTTTTCTGTTTTGCAAGCTCTGGCCTCACCTCATCACCAATACAGTGTAGAGGCTTTTTATTATATTTGTTGTGACTCTGGCATGATTCACCGTCCATACAAATGGCCTGGTTGCCATAGAAATGTAAGTATTAGAAAGGGGGCAGCAAATGGTGGCATAGAATAAAGACATAAATAAAGTGGTGGAAGTAAACCACGGTATAGTGAGAGTGTAATAAAACTTTTATTATCTGTTATTTGGGAAAACCTTTACATCTGATGTGATCATACCAAGAAGCAAGGAGAGAGAGAGAGAGAAAGAGGGAGGGAGAAGAGAAACTAAAAAACAACAACAACAACAAAACAAGCCCCCCAAAACCCCAAAAAACGTCATTCCTTTTTTTCTGACTTCGGAATACTATCATTATTTTTATAGGACTCTTTGGAGTAAGAATAAAAGTTTTGGACCTTATTGTTTGATTACTATATAAAATGTCTGATCTCTTGAGATACATTTAGAAACATTCTGGTAGGCATATGGCCAGCGGCGCTCTAGTGGCTAATGTCTACAGCAAACACAAATAGCTTGAGATTTCTTGAGCCAGGTTTCTGTTTCTGTTTCTACTATGACGGAGCATCACTTTCTGATTCAAAACAGAATTTATGAGTTGGTTATGGGTGTCAGTGACAGCCTGGCCTCAGCTTTGTTTCCTACTACAAAATTCAAGCAATGCAAATATCACCCTGAGTTAGCCAAACATATCATCACTCATTTGTAGTCACTAATATCTTTAATCCATGTAGCGAGTCTTACCTAACACAAACAAATATTTAGCCAATGGAGCAGAAGTACAAACATTAATGAATTTGTTTTAATTGCTCTTCCCTGCGGAGGGCTGTGAGCCTATTGCTGTCAGTGAGGGACATTGCACATGGAGGCATTATATATAAAAAATTTCCTATACAGAAATCCACCGCAAACCCTGAAGGTTTATGGGGAAGACTCAAAACCTATGTATTAAGCCAAAGTAACTACTGTGAAAAATGCCTAAATTTGAGAACACTGTCAATAGATTTTTGTACATGACAATTTAGATCCAAGGAATAATAACTAACACTTAAACTATGCAAACGGCTAACAGTTAGTGTTTACCATTTACCAGGTGTTCTAGCATATATATATATATTTATATATATATAAATAAAAAAATAGTACTTATTTCATTGGGTAATAATGAAAATTATATATATAATAATGCATACATAATATATGTGTATAATATGTATATACATATATATGTATATGTAGTTAGCATATAATTTTATTATAATATGCATAATATATATTTAATTATATATAATACATATACTCATCATAGCCTGGAGTGTATTTCTTGTCCCGTATGTCCCTCTTGGTGGTGAGAATATATATATATTCTCTCATATAATCTTCACAATTACCCAATGAAGCAAGCACTATAATTCATCCCCATTTTGTAGCTAAGGAAGCCAAGGCCTAGAGAACTCAGGTGACTTGCTGAAGGTCCTACAGGAATGATGCTGGGATGAGAACACAGGCTTCTATGCTCATCACCAGTTCACTCTACTGCCTTCAACTAGTTTCTTCCAAGAGTGAATGGTTTACTTTAGTGTTAGCTAAGAAACATATGAGACTCTAGAAGCTGTTTATTCTCATTTTAACTAAACTCAATCTTCCTTCTATTTTCGAAATTTTAATTTTACTGTCATGTACATATACTAAAGTTGACAAAACTCCCTATACTTGAAGGGATATGCAAGTCTAGATCATGAATATACCACAATGGTGACCCTATCTTTTGCAATGGTTTTCTTTGTAAGGAACTGTCAGCTTTCTATAAAATGAAGATGATGGCTGGCCTCCCGCACTGACGGTCCACTTGTGAAGATCAATCTCTGGCAAACAAGCTGAAGAGCCAATAGGTCCAAACATCCCTTCTCATAAGAACATTCTCTCTTCACTTCCAGCCTTGAAGTATCTGGGTTTCATTTTATTTAGGTAACGTAAGGGTGTTCCTTATTTTATTTCTATGGTAAGCACAGGGAGAGAGCCCATCTTCTTTGAGGTTCTCTATAGGAATCATAATTACAGCCCCCAAAGGGAACAGACAGGACAAGAAATACTCACACCTCTCTGGACTATGATTAGATCTGGTTGGAAAGATAAGTGAGTAGATTTATAATCATATTAAACAAATGCATGGGATTCTTACAGTTATCAGAAGGGGGATATAGTTTTCAAAAAATTGGCTTTTGCGTGAATAAGAAATTAAGAACAAATGTTTCATGTCCAAAGCTACCCAAAATAGAAGGAAGGAGTCTCGAAGGAAAAAAAAAAATCACCTCTTTGGTTATTTTCTCAGGTCAAAAGAGCAAGAAAAAAAAAATTTCAGAGACAAAGTTGTAGGTGAAGGCAGTATGAACTAATTCAGTCTGAAATTGTATTCCGTGCAATCACTATCCTAGAGATAATAGGTATCATTTCCTTGATCTTTGGCAGAGAGCTGTGCGCTCCTTAGCATCCACCTGATCATTTAGGCACTGTAAAACACGCTTGCCGCTGACGCCAAGCGGCCCACACGCTTTCTCCAGGCCAGAGACAATGGTTACCATTTCACTTACGTGAGCTTTTGAAGTCTTTCTTTTTCAGTCTCCTCCTCATCATGGTTCCACGAGGGCTAGTAGAGTAGAGGCTTCGAGGTAAAGTCCCCATGTTCAGGGAACTCAGGCTGTATGCACTCATGGAGGTAGGAGAGAAGGAGGACACCAAAGCTGCTGTAAGAGAGTAGACACTTGGCACAGAGCGTTCTCGGGGGGGTATGAGCCTGCTACCCTTGCCAACCAGCAACGATCCAGAAAGACACACAGGACGCACAGCAATGGCTAGGAAATACCCCAACCAGACAGACAGAGAGCAGGTCTCGGAGGCCATGGGGACAGCCCTTCAGAATCTCCGAGTTCCAAGAGTCTACAACTCCTTGAGGAGCACCATGATCCTCGGGAGCACAATGGAACACAGAGACGCTCTATGAACGTTGCTTTAGACACACACACAACTAAGCATTAAAACGAGTCTCCCCATAAACAACAACTCCATGCATCAGGTACACAGTCTCATTTCCATAGATACATTCTGACATGAATTTCACAAGTGGTGCCAAATACACAAGGAGGCGCTGAGAACATCGTAGTCTCCATAATCTTTGGAATTGTTATCTCCTGACTACATACAAAGCATTCTGAACAGTGACATCCTTCCCTAATGACAAACGCCTCTGACAGGGGGAAAAAAAAAAAGCCAGAAATGATAAGTGGCTACTAAAAAAAAAAAGCACATAACACTCATGAAGCCAAACATGGTATGAATTAGATGAGGAAGAGGAAGCATATCATTTCAATGAAAGAGCAGGAGGGGAAAGTCTGGAACATTACGAGGGCTGTTTGGAGGAGGCGCTTTCGGGCCCGTCAGGGCTGGCACTCTGCAATGGTCAGGGTGGATCGTATGAGGGTGATGGTAGGTATGAAGGCTGCAGTGGTTGCTGGCCCAGGAATCCCACGTAAGTTGTCTGTCGGTCCTCTGAATTTTCACTGCCCACATGAAGTGATGATGAGAAATAAGAAAAAGAACCAAAAAAAAAAAAAAAGGAAAAAATAACTGAATTGTACAAATAAAAAGTGTAACAAAAAAATGAAAGCTGCTTGCCAAAAAAAAAAAAAAAGAAAAAAAAAAGAAAAGAAAAAGAAAAAAAATCTACTGGCTTTGTCCTTTCTCAGTGATCAGCAAAACAGATGATTAACATCAGGGATGGAAGCCTTTCATCTTCCCAAGAATAATGCATGTCTTTCCTTGGCCCATTTCTTTTCTCCTTTTCAAATGACTACTGAATCAATTTCTAATCTCCCCCTGTACTTCGCAGCAGAGATTAAAAACATTTTTTTTTTTTTAAACTTAAAAGTCAACCCCATAAAGATCTATGGCATCCAACTAGTAATTAAAGATTTGCACATTATGGCCAGTTTAGTAGCACTTGTTTTGAGAAAAAAGAAGGAACAATAAATCACATTGGCTCATGATTCAAGTGGTTTACCAGTCACACATCACAATATACTGTTCTGACATTTTAATTACACTCAGATCCATCAACTGGACTTGACTTTTCTCAAAACCGCCCCCCCCCAAAACCCCCAGAAAACCCATTCTCAATCATCTATCAATATCAGAATCTTATTTGTATCCTCCTAAGGAGAAAATAAAAGTCTCAATATATTTTACACTTTTTTGTATTTTTGCAAAAAAATGTTTACATTTGAAAGAGATAATTCTCAAAAGATTTCACATATTCTTATATTTTAAGATGCCATAACATTTTAATAAAGCTTATTTCAAAATTTTCCTGTCCCCTTTATTGAAAAAAATGTATATTGTGTTTCTATTCTAATTTCAACATTATTTAGATTTTATTTTCTACCCAGTGTTCTGAAAGAGGGGCAATGTTATGTGTGTTACTATGTCTGATATGAGATTTTTCATTGAACAATCTTAAAGAGTTAAAAATAACACATGAACTCGTATCTCCTTTTAGTGTCACGATTCTAAAGTAAAAGATGCCTAACGTGAATTATTTAACAACATTTATTCATGTAGAGGGTCAAATACTCGATAAGTATTTAAAGGAGGCTCATTTAGATAAGGGCTTAAGTTGTCATTGGCCACCTGACAGCCTTTCTGGAGCGAGACCGCTCTCAGAACCAAAGCACCAGCAGGGAAGAGTATTGCGGGCTGTGGCTGACCTGGCTTTCAGTTCTGGCGCAGCCCTGCCTCTCTATAGGACCCTGGCCAGTCACTCAGCCTCCCTAAGCCTCAGTTTCCTCACCTGTTGAGTGGAGATTGGGAAAGCATCTCCCCTGCAGGACAATTGTGAGAATTATGCACACACTACTTTGCATGGTACACACAATAAAAACAAATGAGCTCTTACTACTACGATTGATTCTGCTTCCTTTCTATCTACTTGCCTACAAATAAAGTATCTTTTAAAGGAAAAAGACGTAGCTCTCACTCAATAAATTTCACTCAGCGGACACTTAGGTTTGGAGACTACCTCCGGAATCTGCAGAACACCTGCATGGGCCCTGCAATTTTAAAGCTCTGCGCCCCCTGGCCCTTTCCTTCTGTCCGCCGCTGTTTCTAGTTTGGGTTCCATCTCCTTGTCCACTATCCTAGTTTCAAGCCATTATCTCCCTGACCCTTGCAACACCTGCAGACTTGGTTCCCTGATTTATCTACTTACATACCTCCCTCTCAGTATCTGTAAGACGGGATAATCTTTTAAATAAGTCACTCCCATTTAAGTGGCTTCAGTGGGTTACAATTACAAGGAGAATCAAATGTGCCCCCTACTTATCTCTCCAGCTTTATCCTCATCACTCTCCCCATCCTGTTGGTCTTACAGTTATTCTTAGAACAAGCCAGGTTGCTTCCTGCCTCAGGGCATTTGCCCTTGCTCTTCTTTCTCCTCCCAGTTGCCTGCAGGGTTGGCTCCTTCTTATCATGCAGGTCTCAGCTAAGGTGCCACCTCCTCAGAGAAGTTGTGGCTGCAGAGCTGCCCTATCCCAAGCTATCCCATTACTACTCTCTATTCTTCATAGCACTTATTATAGTCTGATGTGGCTTTATTTATTTAACATATTTTACATGTTTGTCTCTCTATACTGAAATTCCATGAGAATAGGAATCTACTTTGTCTTGCTCACTAGACTTATCATAGCAGCTAGAACAGTGCCTGGTCCATCATGACGGATGAATGAATGAATGCGTAAGTGGACAGGAATCAGCCGGGGTGTACCCGTCCACACTGCAGCAGCATTTTCCTTGTGATAAACAGTGTTGCGGGGGAAGTTCATAATGGATTCTCTTTGCCCATCCTCCTTCTATTTTGGGGAGTGCAAGAAGGCTTCTTAGAAAGATGTGATCATTGCTGGGTCTGGCTAATCCACACCAACAGCCACTCCAATGAACTTTTTACACTGAATTGTCTGTTTCAAATGAAGGCAGAGCATAGTGAATGGACTTTAGAATTCTACACTCACTTTTTGGCTCAGTTCTTTAAGGAGGACTTTGAAAATTATTGGGCACTTTTTTTTATGACTGTAGCACCCAATTATCAAATCAGTAAGAAAGATATTATTGACCACTCTTGGGTGCCCAGCCCTGTGCCAATCGTTACAGGCAGATTAAGTGTAGGTCATAACCTTTACCTTGACTTTGAGCTGTTCCTGATGACTAAATCTTCATACATATGAAATAATAAGGGACGAAATGATGTAAGAGAATGCATGAAATTGTATGCCATGCGTAATGAATGCAAAGATGTTCAACAAATAATGTAGGCCAGGGAGCACAGCTACTGCCTACTTTGAACATACACTCCAAATCTATTCTGTTTTACGGTGGTGTACTTGATACTCATATGCTTGTTAGGCAAGCATTTCACGAGTTTTAAGATAAGATGTTACATTTTGCAAAAAACATTTCTATACATTCTCCCATTTAATGGTCCCAATAATAACAGCCAACTTTCACTGAGCACTTGCTATATACCAGGCATTGTGCTAAATGCTATTTCATGGATTATCTTAGATAATTCTCACAATTCACTTAGGAGGCAGGTGTTGCTGTTATTATCACGCCCATCTTACAGATAAAGAAACTGAGGAATAGAAAAGTTGGGTTGCTTGCTTAAGGTCCCAAGTGGTGGACCCAGAATTAAGTCTGGAAGTCTGATTCAAGAGTCCCTGCCTTTCAGCCACCACACGCTGCCTCTTCCTGTGGGTGTTCCTGGATTTGTGCAGATACATATGCAGCAAGTTAAAAATAAAATGCTTTTTACATCTTCCAGGATGGCGTCACTGTTGGGAGTCCTACGATGTATCTGACATGGAGGGGGCTTTTGTCTGTTCTCTCTCACTGTACCCTCCTGCCCTGTCCGGGATGTCTATGGGCCCAGGCCAACAGCTGATTTTGTGGTTGCTCCTGGAGCTCACAAATGGAAGGTCCTCCAGGCACTGAATGTACTGAACCTTGTGACTCTGCTCCATGTTCTCTTCCAAAGTCTCATGAACTTCAATCATGATTATGTCTCCCAAAGACCCTCAGTGGGAACAATTTCTAACCTTATTGGAAACTCATTCTTGTTGGCATTTTTAGTGCTATTTATCAGCAAAAGGCACAATTACTCTCATTCCTAGCTGACGTGCCTGTTTCTTTATTTCCCTGAAAACACTGTGGTGGTGAATACTGTGTTGGGAAGCAAAACTTGGGAAATATATCTCCATCCACCTTGGGATGAGAGACATGCTGGTCGGGCATCAGAATTCCTGAAAAAAATTACCAGAACTTTCTTGTGGCAAAAGGGTAAAACTATGTAAAACCATTCTACCACATAAAAAAACCCAGAAGTTTGAGAATTATAAACACCATAAAATTTTTTGGGTATTTTTTTCCCCTCCTTAACTGTGATGTAATTATGTTTCGGAGCCAATAATTTTGTCCTTTTGGAAATGCAAGTCTGATTTTAATGTAAAATGTAAGGAGATGCCTGTAGGCGAGATAAGAAAGAGGGTGCAACTGTCAGCCAAAGTAGATGATAAGGTCGGAAGTGGAAGCTAGAATTACTTCAATTACCAGCCCCCATCCTCCACCCCTCTGAAAAATCACAATGACATCAGGTTTTTGGTAGTGAAAAAAAAATTTTGTTCTTGGTCTCCATGCATCTTAGGATATAAATTCACCCTCTCAAATTGTCTTGACAGGTAAAAAGACTTAATATTTCATGAGTTGGAAACTATTTGGACTACTTATAATTTGTACACAGGGCCAATAAAAAGGGGGAGATGGGGCTGTAATGACATTTTGCTAGGGTCTGCTCCGTAGTTCTGATTCTCTGACAGCAGAATTTATCAAGCCGAATCTCACGCTGAGAAAGCACCACACTGTGTGCATTCTTAGACCCACTATGCTCCAGATCCAGTGATGACTTCGGGTTAATTTAGAAGAGACTTAGTTTTAGAAATCTCTCCCCTCTGCCAGTGTGCCCCGTGGGGTCTCCTGAGCGGAACGGGGTGCATTCCCATGAACCCCTTACTGTTTCTAGTCAGAGGAGGCAGAGTTTCCTTCCCTAACCTGCCTCTACGGCAACCCTTCTCTGCTCCATTGTGTCAAATTAAAATCTGATAAAGGTAATGCTGTACTAGAGATTTTCATTAGCTCCAGGCTGTCTAAGCTCCATTTAACTAAAAAAGGTTGCATCCAGCTGACTCATTCAGTAGGAAAATGATCTGGTCCCTCTTTTTTTTTTTTCTTTTCTTCCAAACTGTGGCAAAGTGCGGTGTGTTTCAGAAGGTGGGAGATGCATAATACGATCTCCTCACAAGCAAAATTTCAATTCCAGAAAAAATACAAAAAAAAAAAAAGCTCGTCTCCGTCTCCGGGTCGGGCCCCCTGAAAGCACTCGTGAAGCTTCAAGGAATTCATTTCAAGGAATAACAAAGGAGGGCACTTGGCGTAAGGGAAAGGAGAGAGGAGTTGGAAGAAAGACTCTCCAGTGGAGTGTCATTTGGGGTTCCAAGCCCTTTATCTTGTACCAGGTTTTGTTTAAAGATGCCTAAGTGGAGGGTACATGAACACTTAGCAAACATATCTGTGAGTTTCCACACAGTAAAAATGTGGGTCCTCTCAGCTGACAGCTGTTACAGAATAAATGTAGTCAAATATTCTGATACTCCCAGGAAAGGTACTTGCTCACAGAGGTGGTTCTCCATCCTAAGGGAAAAGCTACTCTGGCAAATAGACAAAATATAGAGAAAGTCAAACTTTCCTATGACTGGTTTTTTTTTTCCCTCTCCAAATATCTGGAGGGTGTGCCACGAATACCCACTTCATAATTATTTTTAAAAAGTGAGAGTTTTACAATATGCCTTCATTGTCCTTCAAGTAGAATGGAAATTCAGTATGCGGAACAGTAAGTCAAATTCTTTCCCTTCTCTCCACACTCAATTTGCAACAAAGCCGTTAAAAAAAAAAAAATCAAACAGTACAAGCCTGAAAATTCTGTTTCAAATAATGTTTCTTTCTTCAATTTTGAGATTTCAAATAAATTACGTTTGGCTCAGGGGTTGGGGGCGATCTGGAAGATGAAGAAAAGCCAACAAGGATAACCTGCTGTTTTGAAAAGAAATGATAAAGCCGGAAGTAGACTCTGTGTCTTCTGGCCTCTAACTCTGCTGGAGAAGCAGTAAGTGCAAGGGGAAGATACAGAGATTTAACTAGCTGGATCCTCTCACCATGGTCAGGTCCCTTCAGGGCCAGGCGGGTCTGATGATGGGGCAGAATCTCAAGCTTGACCTGGTCGGTGGTGTTGGCCAGGAACTGGGTGGCCTCTGCTAACGTACAGTACTCCATGCTCGTTCCGTCGATGGACAGGATGTGGTCTCCCACGTGCAGGGCACCACATCTACAGAAAGGGAAAGGACAAATACTCAGTAGGATGAGTGCCTTCCTCTTTGGACTATGACTTTCACGGCCTTCACAGTTAACATTTCACACAGTTTCAATTTACTTAAAAATAGGAAAAGTTTAAGTGTTATAGGAAACACCATCTGTCAAATGTTAAGTACCTTGTGTAGGAATAGGAATATAGAAAATACAGAAAAACTCAAGGAAGTGTTTTTCTCTTGTGCTTCTTAAAAAAGAATATATTATTTCAGGGTGGCGGTGCCGAAAGTTGAAGGGAAGTGAGTGGGAGGGAAGAGAAGAACAGGACAATTTTCCCCCTTGGCTTTTTTTTTTTTTTCTGTGATTTTTCCTTGTTGGTTTTTATATCTATGAGTATGAGTTGGTAAATATTCAGAATGTCAAGATGTGACTCGCATAATTGGAATGGGATCATTTACAACTACTTTATGTGTGAATGGGAATAACTGGGGGAGACTCAGCTAATGCTTTTTCAGAACCCCTCACATGAGCTGCCAAATCACCAGTGCTTTATTATTATATTTTATTTTGTTATTCTGGAGTTAAACATCGATTAGTAGAAAAGCTCTCGATGGCGATGGAAATTATGCAGGAGTCAAAAGAGTCAAAAATGAGGCCTGCGTGGTGAGTGAAAGGGAAAGCTGGGGGGTGGGGGAAGGGCTAGCTGCTACATCTTGCTGAACTCAAGAGACTGGCTACTGAATGAGTTGAGAAAAGCAAACACAGCAGTCAGCATCCCGACATACCAGTCAAGTGGACAGCTCCTTAAACTGGTTACCCCCTGCGGAACGGGAGAAAAACAGAGGGAGAAAATTAAAGCATCCTGCACCATTGAACTGGAGAATACCCCTGGATCAATGGCCGTCACTGGTAAAGAACCAAATGTAGGGTAAGGCCACAGTGGAGCTGTAGACTGACCACTACAGGGGTTACTGCAGGTTACTGCATCAGGGTGGGAGGTTTCCCACGTAGGGCGAGGGCCTCTGGAAAAGAGGCTGGAAACATGCAGGGGAGGCAGGGCCTCTCGGAGTATATCGAGCAATTTGCACAGTGGGAATAGTCTCCTTCTCAAGACAAAAAGAGCATTTCAAGTCGTCCCTTCCATCTAAAAATAAAATTCTGTGTGGATGCACTTGGAGAGCTTCGGCGATGGAAGTGGGGGTTTTCTTACCAGAAGCTGGGAAATAATTTATTAGGTGGGGAGGTAGTCTTTTTGCCCCCAACCCTTCTTACCTTATAAGTCTAAAATAGTAATTAGGAAAAAGAATTCAGGAAAAAGGACTTTTGTTTTTATTGTGTCATAGGAATAAACGCTGTTTTCAGGGGCCCTTGAAGACAGTGAAACCCTAAGATTAACATTCTATGACAGTGTAAGACCTCTCTTTGAAGACTGCATTATTTCAAAAATATTGTTTTACTCATTTAAGAAAAAAGGAATGAGATTTTTATAAGATTTTGGCAAGATTTAATTGTTAACAGTTCAGGAAAACGTATGACGTCTCTAAAGGGAGCATACTCAAGATATGCTTAGCTACCCTACACCAAAAACAATCTATCACCCTAGAACATGGTAGGAAAACTTGTTCAGTTGCTTGACTTTTTTTTTTTCCTACCTCTAATGGCCACACCAAACATCTGGATGAGGCAACATAACATTATGGGGTGGCTGATAAGGTACGTGAATTTTTAAGCCCTAGAACCGTTAACTTGTTTTCTTGATGAAACTTGTATAAACGGGCAGGAGAGCTGTTTTTTAATCATATATGTATGTGTGTGAATGCATGTGTACATGTGTAAGTATTACATATGTGTGTATATACATATAGAAATATATATATATGTTAACACTCATGCAGTTTTGAAAAGTAGGCACTTTCTACAACACCCACCTGTCTGCAATACTTGCAGATTTGATTTTGTCTATGACAATGACCTGTTTGTTACAGCACATCGAGGTAGTTAGGGCAACCCCAAGGCTGGCACCAGGAGTTTTGGCAACTTCAACTAGCAGTGGCCCGGACGCTGTTGCCACAGAATCTACGGAAGAACAAATTTCAGAAAACAAAACAAAATAAAACCAATAAGCAAACAGACACACGAAAAATGTGGAGAATGTTCAGTCTGTTGTTGGTCTATTAACGTTATCACTGAAACTTACATTTCCCTCCAGGTACCATCCCCCTGGCCCTGGTAACTTCTTAGGGCACCTTTTAGGACACCTGTTCTATCCAGCTTGCATATCCAGTAATATGTACACAGGTTTATCTCTTCAATTAAAGTTTAAGCTTCACATTAGTTGGGATAATGTTTTGTGTATCTTTATGCCCTCTTTATCACTTGGCACAGTGCCTGGCAATACTAGGTTTCTCAATAAAAGTTTTTCAAATAGCACCTACTGTGGATGGATGGATGGATGGGTGGATGGATGGTTGGATGGGAGAGAAGGATGAATAGATGAAGTCTCTCAGTAGCCAAATACTAGGAATGCATACACTAAGTTGAATTTGTAAGTCTTTGGGTCTTTCCCTATTCTGGACCTGATCTAGGGTCACTTTGCCCTTGGCAGTGACTTCACACCACACAGGCTTTATTTTTGGCTTGGAACACTCTTTATTCCTTCAACTCCTCCTCATCTTGGGGACTCAGTGTAAACATCAGCTCCTCTGAGAAGCCTCTCCTGACTCATGATTTGGGGAGATCCCTTTCTCGTGTGCTCCTACAGCCTGCTATATTCCTTTTGTTACGGCACACACCTCACTGTTTTGCAGTGGCCAGTGTGGATTACATGCTTCTGTCCTTTGCCAGACTGCAAGCTGGCTGCGAAGGCAGAGATGATGTCTTGTTGATCACGACATCCTCAATGCCTGGCATAATGATCGGCCCAGAAGAGGAGGTGAGCGATAAACAGTTGTTGAATGAATGCATGAATAAATGAGAAAACTCATGAAGTCCCTTAAAGGTCAGAAGAGGCAGGGGTCATACAGGTAAGAGCCCTGGACACAGAATTAAAACACCTGCGTTTCTTTTTTTCACAATATTTTGATCATGGTACCTCAGACAAGTTACTAAAACTTTCTAAGTCAGCTTGCTTGCCTACAAAATGGTATCCTTTCCTCAGTGTTTACTTTGATGAAATCAATGTCTTGTTAAAGCGTTTTGTAATTTACAAAGTGCTGTACATAGAGAATATTATTATTATTGCTATATTATGACCTCAGCATTTCACAAGACTATATTACAAGACTGTAATATTTTTCTGATTTTCTACTGCTCTTCATTAATGCAAATTTGTCTTTCTCCAAGTACATTTTATCATGGAGGAAACGCTCAGATATGGTGAGCTAGGAAATCTGTGTTCCTGTTGCTGAAGCTCAGGCAGTATGGACTGACTCCTGAAGCTGAAAGTTTCATTGGAGAGAGCAATTTTCAGTTTGCTATGAAACAAGGTATTTCTCAAATAAGGTAAAGATGAGAACATTCATGCCAACAACATTTGTATTCCAGTGCTAAGGATTCGTGTATGTACATTCTTTCTTTTTTTTTTTTTTAAGATTTTATTTATTAATTTATTTCAGAGAGAGAGAGGGTGCGAGTGAGAGAACACAAAAGGGGGGTAGGGTGGGGAGGGGCAGAGGGAGAGGGAGAAGCAGACTCCTTGCTGAGCTGGGAGCCCGATGCCAGAGCTGGATCCCGGATTCCAAGATCATGACCCGAGCTGAAGGCTGTTTTAGTGGTCCTTTCTTCACTAGGGTAGTCGATTCTGTCCACCTCTCAACTCTCATAGTCCAAGTTCTGTGACTAAGTGCACAAAATCTTGTGCCTCGAGCTTCACACTCCGAAGTCTGCTGTCCTCCCCTTCCTTGAGCAGGCTCCCTAGCAAGGTCCCTTCTTGCTTAGGTTGACCCTCGTGTCAGCTCTGGCCCAGCAGGGCCTTTTCTTTACATTATCTTTATAGAACTTTAGAAGGACTTAATTAATTAAGGTATAATTGACAGATTACCTTAGTTTCAGGTATAAAATATGATGATCATATATTCATATATGCTGTGAAATGGTCACCACAATAATAGAAGGAATAATTTTAGGAGGACTAATTTCCAAAATCACTTCCCATAGACTGGTTGGATTATAACAGATAGCTTTGTGAGGTGATAATCACACATATTCTTCCACTTGGTTTTCTCATGTCAAAAGATAAATTTCTTTGACTTAACAGATGAAAGCAATAAAGTTTCTCTGTTACTTATAACTTAATCTCTTACAAATGACAGAAACTGGTAGTTGTTCCTTGGTATTCTATCTTCCTTTTTTTCTTCAGTAATAAGCTGCCAAGCTAAGGACATTTCCCAGCCTCCTTTGCAGTGAGGTGCAGCCAAGTGACCAAATTCCAGCCAATGGGGAGTGAGTGGAAGTGAGAAGTGAGCTGTTCTGGATGTGCTCTTAAAAATGAGGGCTGTGCTCTCCTTGATCTCATTTCCTCCTTGTTGCTGTTGCAATGTGGGCCCAGCCCTGGTAACCCATCTTCAACCATGTAGGCAAGAGCAGGGAGCCACGTAGAGGAAGCTTTGGTTTCTGAAACCCTATCTCCAGAGATCGGTGCTCTCCCAATAAATAAACTTCTATCACATTTAAGCTAGTAGTTTAAGCTTGGGTCTTTGTTAAAAGCTAAATCTATATCCTGATAGGCCTTTTCACTTGTGTCTATCCCCCAATGTATCTTTCTTGAATTGTTATTCTAAGAGGCAGCTATTTACAACTAGGTATTTGCAGATGTAAATTTTTTATAAAACCACAATCAACCATTACCGAGTATACACGACGTATCCATTTTTCTTAAAAGCATTACACCATGATTAAAGATGTTATCAGCATATGTGGAAATTGTTTAAATGTAAACTCTTACATTGTTATTCTTTTTTTCCTGCCTATATTGATCAAGGTCCTAAAAATTATATTCTTGCATGGTTCTAACGTTCCAGTTATGGTGAAGAATGAATATTAAGCTTTTTCCTGTATAAAGAAATGAGAGGAACATCTTCTATCAAGAAACATAGAAAAATATTGGCAAACTTGTAGGGAATTGATTACCCACAAGAAGCTTTTTCCTTTCTGATCTTTAAGGATCTAATTAGTGTTTAAGAACACTTTTGAGATGAAGGTAAAGGTGTTTTATCAGGCTGTAGTGTTCTAGAAGAATGGAACAATTAGGAGAAATTGTTGGTAGGAAAGGAGGCAGACACAAAGTCAAAAGTGAAGTGCTACACATTAAATGCATGTGAGTAGCTGACAAAAAAGTTTTAGAGGTCATGGGAGACCTTTGCTCTCCTCATCCCTTTAGCTTTGCACTTCCCTGTTAGTGCCCTGCTATCATTGAATTATGGATCCTCCCATGTGGAGGGGGCCTTGGGGTTGGACTGAAGAGAATGGGGTGTTGTCTAGAACAAGTGTCAGGTTCTCTTGAAGTAGATGATGTACATACAATTAAAGTGGTTTATGGGGGGAAGAAAGAAGCATAGAACAAGTGCTCCAGATCTTCTGCCGCCATTAATTTAGAAGAGAAGAGAGATAACACCCACAACTGCTCTGGTGCACCTCTAGAATAAGTTTCTCTTTAAGTAGTACTTTCCCCAGTAAGACTTCAAAGGAAAAACAAGTGCAATATTTCCACTTGGGGGAGCCGAATGTGCCATGAACAAGTTTCTTTTAAACTTTAAAGTAGAAAGCTTCAGAGTTCTGAGAAGAGAAATTTAAAGTCATGGTTAAGGGAAGAAGCATGTACTTCTAAGCTGAGCTTAGGGCTGGAAGCTGGGAGGGTGATGCCTAGCTCTGCCACCAACATACCATGCAGCCCAACCCATCATTTCCTTTAGATCTCATTTTCTTCATTTGTAAAATAAGGGGACTTCAATAAAAGCTCTCTAGCCCTGATAAGCTATGACTCTACAAAGAAATAGCAAGGTCAGGTAAGGAAAAGCCTAGGGAATCAGAAAATTAGAGAAGGTTAATAAACTTTATAACAATATGCAATAGCTAAATTTAAATTTCAATATCCTCCTAATGAGTAGAAGAGGTGAATTGCTAGATAGAAAAGTGATTCTAGATAACTGAGGTTTACGAAGATGGGTTGTAAAACCTCACACTCTTAAGTATTTTGATAACAACAATAACACCCTTTAAAGATGGAGTTTGAGGGATGGTCTCCTATCTTTATACACTCATTATATAATAGAAAGATTTCACATTAAGAAGTTTCCAGGACACAACTTTAACTTTCTAATAAGACTGTGTGTGTGTCATAATGAGGTCCTAACTTATACAGAAAAAAATAAAGATAGTGAGGAAAGGAAGGTGCTTATCTCATGTAAAGATGATCAGGGATTTAAAAAAAATTTTATTTAAATTCTATTTAGCTAACATATACTGTATTATTAGTTACAGGGGTAGAATTTAGTGGTTCATCAGTTGCATATAACACCCAGTGCTCATTATATCAAGTGCCCTCCTTAATGCCTATCACCCAATTACCCCATCCCTCCATCCACCTCCCCTCTAGCAACCCTCAGTTTGTTTCCTATAGTTAAGATTCTCTTATGATTTGCCTCCCTCTCTATTTTTATCTTATTTTATTTTTTCTTCTCTTCCCCTATGTTCATGTTTTGTTTCTTAAATTCCACATATGAGTGAAATCATATGGTATTTGTCTTTCTCTGACTTATTTCACTTAGCATAATGCCCTCTAGTTCCATCCATGTCATTGTAAATGGCAAGATTTCATTCTTTTCGATGGCTGAGTAGTATTCCATTTTATACACACACACACCACAAGGATATCAGGGATTGTTGACAACAGTTTACTGAATATGAGCTCAGCCTTCTATTCTTTCTCCTTTGTAGCCCAGTTTCACTTAACCACGATCACTCTTAAATTTATGTGTCCAGCACATAATCCTTCCCCAGAGCTCCCACTGCTCCCACTGCCTTGAATAATTCTTGGATGTTTCATGAGCACAACAAACACAATATGTGCAAAACTGATA